AGCGTTCACACAGGGGTCTGATACAGGTCACATTTAAAATGTAATGTGAACGTTCACACAAAAAGATCAGATTTTTTCAAAAAATCAGAACTGAGCGTTAAGACCTGCAGTGTGAACGTAGCCTTTGTGTAAACATTGTCACAGTTCATTATGGGCTGAACTCATGGCTGCTTCTGGAAACCCATCTGGAGGAATTGCCTACAAAGAAACACACTCAGAGGGGCCTGCAGTTTCAATGCTTACCCACCACCTCCTAGTGGGGGGAGCAACGTGACCCCCACCCATCTGTGAAAGTGACTGGCTCAGTTCAGGAGGCCCAAAAACACAACAGCTGCAGCAGGAAAGACCTTCATCATCATCCTCCTCTGTTACTTTGTCTGCCAGAGTCTGCTGAGCCTCCAGCTGTGGCCAGAGAACAGCTGCTGGGGGTTGAACTTGTACCTGGGACAGAACAAAAATGTTGGACTAACTGATGAACAGGAAAAGAACTACCAGACATTTCATCTGTTAATAAAAGTGATTAATCATTAAACACTGGTGTTTGAGGCTCATTTCACTTTTTTAAAGAATGAAACTCATGGAAATTTAGCAATTTAACCTTAAGCTACACTTTTTCAGAGTAATTCTACTTTAATCTATAGATCCAAAATGCTGAATTTAAATCCTACATTCATCCAGGGAAGAAGAGTCTTGAACGTACCTTGGATCATAAACACCGGGGGTCCGACAGGACTGYCCAGAGCAGGACTGCAGCATCATCAGCCGATGGTTCATCTTCTCCAGGACTTCCTGATCGATGGTCTTTGCAACGTTGGTCAGCTGGTAGGGGTCTGCTGTCATGTTGTACACTTCTACAAACACCTACAGAGGGCGACACGTTCATCAGTTACATTCCTCAGATGTCAGGACTTCAGCTTTAATCCAATCGWTTCTACCTCGTTGTCATCAAACTCGCAGTACTGCATGTTGGCAGAGGGGGCGATGCTGCGCACGCAAGCATAAGTGTTGTTGTAGGAGTCCTCACACACACAGTCTGGGAAACACTCCTGAGCGAGAAGAGTCCTTCAGCTGCACACGTGTTGATTCAGCTGAAATGTTTCATTCTGTCGCTCTGCTCTTACCGACACGCCTGGTCCGAGCAGCGGGCAGGCAGGGTCCGAAACATTCCTCCCCTCTCCTTCATACTCCACCAGGATGTCTGTTCTCCAGCTGCTGCTGTTCAGCCTCCCTTCCTGGACACACACACATCCATCCTTGTATTTGCATCAAACTGAGGACTTCGTATTGACTTCCATTCATTTTTTGTAACTATTTATGCCTAACCCAGACATTTTCCCTAAAATTAACCATTACTGGTCTATAATTAACCCTAACTTGAACCAAAACTTAATTCACACCATACCTCTAAACCTGACTAGTWGAGCTGCAAATAAAGTGAGGACTGGGAAAATGTCCTCACTTTCCAAAAATGACCTCACTTTGTTGATTAAAAACCTAACATKGTCCTCACTCTGTAGTCAAAACAAGTACACACACACACACTCTGAGCTTTGTTCCTACTCAGGATGAACAGATTCTAACTTCATCAGTTTTTATTTGATTTATCAATAAATGACTGACTTTTAAAAATCTGTTTCTCTGGAGTTTTTTTTAACACCCATCTCTCCTGGTTGAATTTTAGTTGGTTGATAAATCAACTTTTTCTAATGTCAACAGGTATCCAAATAAAATAAATAAATTGAGCTACCTTAAAGGGGCAACATCATGTCAAATCAACTTTTTTGAGTTTTATATCATGTTAAGTTACACTCTCATAAAAAAACATGCCCAAAGCCTTGCTTAGACTCATTCATGCATGTTTGAGAAATCCTGCAGCTTTTTTAGGCAGCCATGCTGAGGAGCAAAACGACAGGTGGGGACTAGAAACGCCTCTGGGTTGTGTCTTTGCCGAACTCCATCATGGCAGAGCTCCCCTGCCCATGACTCCTGCAGGCTCTCGGCAGTAACAAAGCAAATGAGTGAAACTGAAACTATCTGCTGAGCTCCTAACCGCCAATTTACATTGTTTGCGTTCCGTCTCCGCTCCGGTCCGACCTCCGCAGCAAATACGCACCCATTATAATCAATGAGAGTGTTTACACTGGCTGCGCACGGCTGCGCAGGGCGGCGGTGAGCGGACTGTGATCCGTCAAAATTAGAACAGATCCTATTTTTGCTGGATGCCGGAGTTGCACTGGAGTCRATTTTTAAAGATTACATCGCACCAACAGGAAAAGACACGAGCACAACATCCGTATTTTCAAAATAAGACACTATTCGGTCGAATAATTTGTTGGAATAATGTCGAAATTGCAGCTATATTAATAAATATACGGATATATTTATACACAAATGCTGTCAGAATGTATCGTTCTGTTTGGGAAGCAGATGGAAACATGTAGCATGAAGCTATGTGTACACACACGATACACGTGGATTTTATTTTGAAATCAGAAGTTTCAGAAAGCCGACAGTGCGAGAGTTTCAACATAGATACCAGAAGCCTTTATATCATTGGTTTCAACTGTGTTTGGAGTTTGTCTTTCACAGAATTAATTATTTTTTGCTGTGACTTCCACATTTATCACTGAATTTATCGCGCGATCTGCTTCCTGCACCTCTGTCGGAGCGGAGGTAATGTAAACTGGACTTGAAACGCACAACTGTGACCTGCGCAGCGGAGACACATGCAGTATAAATCCAGGGTAACACTATGTCTCACTCAGTGAAGCCCTTTTCAGATTCAAAATACCTTTGAGGAAATGTATTTTCAGATGCCAAGTAAACTGCATCGTAGGGCATGCGTGAACTCCCCCGCTCTTAAAGAGACAGAGGCCAATTTCAAGGCATTTAGAAGAGGAAGTGATGAGAAGATAAGTTTATTTTCTATTTAAACATAGAAAAAGCATTTTAATAACAACTAAAGGTGACAGATATTCTATTATAGTACAGTATTTAAATGTAAGCCTGAGAAAAGCATAATATTGCCCCTTTAAAGAAAATACAAACCTTTCAATTTTTTTCTACTATAGGAGCAGCCAGTATTAGTGAACAGATAAAACTGTCTCATTGGCATAATGATTAGCTCTTACTAATAAATTAATTTAAACTCAAACACAAAGAAAATAAAAAGCCACCTCTCAGTCAACATAAGCTGTTCTCACCATGATGGGCAGGAAGGACATGCCGTCCATTTGGGTCTTGTTGACATTGTAGCCGGCGATGTCYAGGATGGTCGGGCCGAGGTCCACGTTCGCCACCAGCATCTGTCAAAACATGAGTTCATTCAGCGAGAGACGCTCAGCGGAGTATTCTCAGTGCTTTTTAGGACTATTACAGTCAAATAATATTAATAAACGTGGAGACAGGAAGCTGAGGCTCTGGACAACAAAAGACAAGAATGTTACTGAAACAATCAGAGGACGACGCTCAACCTCCTGCAGAATATTTACACCCTGATGACCCACGCTCATTCAGGGTAAAACTGATTAACAAGCAGCCAGTCTCAGGTTGGCTAATCCAAACTCAAATCTTGAGGCTTCTTTGCAGTAAATCTTATACTGTTGGAAAGTCTGTTCATTTCCTGTTAAATGGTGCCACATTTGTAAGGAACRTGCATTTCTCTGCTAATGTCAAACAGCTTATTTCACTGTTGCTACTGATATTTATTTAAAGTTCCTGGTGCTGCTAAAAGCTTTATTGCCAAGAAACATTGTTCCAACAAAGAAATAATCTAACAAACACACATTTCCTTACTTTTTCAGCTGAGTTTATATAGAAACAAACAAAATGACCTGTACAAGTCGATAAACTTGTGTCGGCTTACCTGACTGGTTTGGTTGGGTTTGATGTTGGGTCCTCTGACCATGAGAGGAACTCTGATGTCAAACTCGTACAGCTGCCGTTTGTCAAGCGGCAGAGAAAACTGACCTGAAACACAGCAGACGTGGACGTGTTTCTGGTTTGGACCTCAGGATGGAAAATGGCAGATTAATTATAAACTCACCTGTGTGGTAGCCATTGTCAGAGGTAAAGAAAATGTAGGTGTTGTCCAGTTCACCTCGGACCTCCAGCTTCTTCACTATGTTCTCCACCAAGTCGTCCACTGACAGTAAAGTTTGCCACCTGCAGGATTTGAGAAAGCATGACAGGAAAATATGATCAGAACTGAGAGGTGTGGAGGAGAGGGAGAGCTGAGGGTGAAAGGTGAAGCCACCGACCGTTTCCTGAAGGCGGCGTCAAGAAACTGAACGGAGGAGTTGGTCATGGGAGTTTTAGCCTGTCTGATCAACCAGTGTTTGTCCTGAAGATACAAAGAGTGCTCATCAAAATGACACTTTGCTGAGAAACAATATTAAGTCAACTTCACCATGCTGTGAAATAAAAACTGTTTATTGTTATTTATGCATCTTGGAATATTTTAAAAATCAAGTCTGTCTTTACCAACTATTTTTAACCCGTCTCTAATTTCTGATCTGTGGATCCATTGAAGGATTCATGTGGATCGTTTGATCAAATGAGCCAAGTACAGACCTAAAATAATTTATAATCTGAAGATCTACTGTAGTTTTGATACGTGGTAGCTGAACACAGATGTACCACACACACATTTTAATCTGGATTGTTGATTTTGTCAGAAAAGTTTTATTTAAAACTATGTATTTTCCTAATCAAAGCCAGAATACAGAATCTAAAGAATGAACTGAAAATGCAAATAAAAACATCTCTAATAAGTGAAAAATTGGTTGAAAATGTCACATGATATTTACCTTCCTGAGGTTAGATCTTAATTATTTATACTGATGTAAACTTAACTTCTGTGTTTGATCAGGAGCAGCAGGACTTTCTGTCCTAAAGTTTCTGTGTGAGCTTTACTCTGACATTAAAATGCAAACGTTTGTCCCCACCTTCCCGTGGACGTTAAAGTTGGGGTCCCTGGGAGCCTTGGTGGTGTTGAAGCGGGCCTGGTACTGAGGAGCTGCAGTCCAGGGGGAGTGGGGGGCCGGAGTGGACACCATCATAAAGAACGGCTGGTAGCTGGATTTATAATGGAGGAACTCCAAAGACATGTTGGCCTGAGAGCCAAAAATAAAATAAATAATAAAAATCAGTAAAGGTGTTCAACAATTCAAAACGTGCAGATTCTTTATTGATCAGGTGTCTGACCAGCACATCAGTCAGGTAGTCTGTGTTGTAGTTATCTCCATGTTTCTGAGCCTTCCCGTTCACTGACAGAGTGTAGTTATAATATTTAGAGTTCTTCTCCTGGAAAAAAAAATCAACAGTTTTACTACAAGTTTTTTTAATACGCTTTTTACTACAGTGGATCAAAATCTGAGTTATTATTTCCTCCATTAAAACTTTACAGTATAAGGCATGGCAAATGTTCAAATTTCCCCACTGTGGGATCAATAAAGTTCTATCTATCTAAAGCAGACGGCCCATATTTTATTAGAGCTTAACATAAAAACATGAAGTTTCCTCAGTTTACATGACAAAACTGTTACAGCAGTAATTTAAGAGTTTATGCACTGAAGTAGACTTACTGAACTGTTCAATAAAACATCTCAAACAGGTCATGTCACAGTGACTTGGGAGGCAGACTCACTTCTCAGAAACAAATTTCTGAAGAGGACTCTAAACCAACCTGTCCTCCGACGCTTCCTCCAGTCCCTACAAAGGTTAAACTTTAATTGAGCTTCAGTTTTTTGTCACATTCTGGCTGTGACTCAATTCATGATAGGTTGAAATAGACGTTGGCTGTAAGCCGCTCGTGTCGGCTGCATCAACAGCTGTGAAATGAGAGGTATAACGTCACAAAATTCAGTTTTAATAGAAACTCTTTTTTATCAATGCAAAAGATAAAAAGGAGTTTACTGTTGGAGTGTTTATAGACTTTAAAAAAGCATTTGATACTATAGATCATGGCTTACTGTTATTGGAGTGATATTGTGTGAGAGGATTAGCACATTCTTGGATAAAATGTTATTTGGATAATAGATATTATGTACAAATAAATAATGTGAATTCTGATTTACTGAATGTAACCTGTGGAGTGCCACAAGGGTCAGTACTGGGTCCAAACCATTTTTTACTTTATATAAATGACCTTTGCAGTGTATCTAAGTTATTAACATTTACTTTATTTGCTGATGATACTACATTATATTGCTCTGTAATAATTTGGAACAACTTCTGAATACAATGGAAACTGAATTAAAGGTAATAAAGAATTGGTGTGACAAAAATAAACTATTACTAAATCATGAAAAAAATACATTGTATTTAGTAATAAAGGAATAAAAAATTATGTAAAACTAAAGATAAATAATATTGAAATAGAAAGTGTATGAAATTAAATTGTTAAGAGTGACACTTGATTACAAATTGCATTGGAAAGCTCATATTGAAAATGTAAAAGCTAAAATGTCAAAAAAATTTGCAATATTAAATAAAATAAAACATTTTCTAAATTTAAAAACTTTATGTTATATTGTTGTTTAATACTTCCATAAATGACTTACTGTGTGGAAATTTGGGGAAATTCCTATAAAACAACACAAAACCTATTTATATGCTTCAGAAGAAAGCTGTACGAATTATAAATGCATTAGATTATTGTCATCCAACAAATGACACATTTATCACATTGCATACTTTAAATTTTTATGATTTAGTAGAACTTAGAACAGCATTAACAATGTACAAAGCTTATACTAAAGTCCTTCCTCGTTGTATACAGAAGTGGTTCAAAATTAAAGAAACAAACTATGAATTTAGAAAGAAAGATTTATTTTAAAAAAGCAAAGGTTAGGACAAATATTAAAAAAATAACTGTACCTCCGTAAGAGGGATTTGTGTTTGGAATAATTGTTGTGAAGAGTTAAAACTGTGTTTTTCACTAACTAAATTTAAAACAGTGTGTACAAAGCTTATACTAAAGTCCTTCCTCGTTGTATACAGAAGTGGTTCGAAATTAAAGAAACAAACTATGAATTTAGAAAGAAAGATTTATTTTAAAAAAGCAAAGGTTAGGACAAATATTAAAAAATAACTGTACCTCCGTAAGAGGGATTTGTGTTTGGAATAATTGTTGTGAAGAGTTAAAACTGTGTTTTTCACTAACTAAATTTAAAACAGTGTATAAAAACTATTTGTTACAGAAATATACTAAGTTTTGATTGATTGTTTGCTGCTGCCAGAGTTTTGTTTCAAATTTGGTTAGAATTTCATTGGAAATTTTATTTTATAATATCTATAAGATGGAGATTTGATTTTGATAATGTATGAATAAAAGGTGAAGGTATGAAAAGCTTAGGCTTTTACCTACACTTTTTTTCAGTCTATGCCTTGTCTCTTTGACACTGACAGGAATTTAACGATTGTGTATTATTTTATTTCTGTATAAGGTTAAAATGTCATGTTATCATTTTGTTTGACTTAAAGAAATAAAGATTTGTGCATTATGAAATAAATAAAACAATAAAAATAAAAAGTTACAAGTAAATAAATAAAAAGCATTAATAATTTGCATTTAGCTTCAGTATAAGTATACTTCCATCTGCATTTTATTTAACATCTCATTGCAACAAAACTTTTTTCAGCTACGTTGCTTAACCTAATTTTTTCGGTCAGTGATAAATTTCCAAACTCTGTCATTAAAAAACAAAAACCAGCAGTAAAATATATTTCTTTTAATTTGCCATCTTTATCTGTTTAATTTGCTGACGGCACAATGAATTTTGGGATACAGTTAGTCACGTAGGATGCAGCAGACCTTTTTTAGGGTTTGTCGGCCACACGTGTAGGGGACTATGAATTGCGACAGCCTACAGTGCGGGGCAGTGACGTGCGCAGCCGACAAATGGTTTCCACCCAGTCAGACATGTTTGGAACAACTTCTCTAAAACATCCTAACAAGACAACTGAACCACGCTGCTACCGGCTCGACATCACTTCGACATGAAGCTGCAGAATCACAGGATGGTGTTTGAGAGTTTTGAAGAGGCGAGGAACTTCACAAGTCTGTGAAAACTGGGTTTGACTGAGAGGACAAGTTCAACGCTGCTATTGCATTTGTTGTTTAAAAAAAATCATAAAGAGTATCACAATACTTTAAATTTAGATAAGATTTATAAATTGCATGTTTGTCTTATATAAGCATTGGCAAATAAACTATAAAAAATTAACAGTATTAAAAACTAAACTAAAACTAAGCATTAAAAATGCCATAAACTACGGTAATAAAAACTAGCAAATCCACTGTAAAAACTAATTGAAGCTAACTGAATTAAAAGAAAAAAGTCACAATGAAATAAAACTAAACTTTAATGAACAATCCAAAACTATTATAACCTTGATTAGCTGCAACTAAAAGAGTCACATAAATACAAATCACGTTCAAAAAGGTTAGATACAAATTCTTCAACAAGCTAAAACATCTTACAATCATTGGAAGACTTTGATTATTGACTGACTTCAGGTCAAGTTTAGAACATTATATATTTTTCTTAGATAATATCTAGGCAGTGCACACTCTAGTTGTCTCTATGACAGATGGTTAGCTTCTGACAGATTTAGCTACAAACTCTAAATAATACACAGATGCATACGTTCATCTTTACACAACATTCTTTTGTACAGACGGACACTCAGTGCACGCTACAGAAGAACTAACATTATTGCACACAACTGCTGCTAATTTGTCAAGTTTTGAACATTATGTAAACCACTTGCTTACACTTTATCAATATCTTTTTTAAACTTTAGAGTTCTTTTTGTTTAGACTGAGTCCTTTTGTAAACAATAAAGTAAAGAACCAGCRGATGTCACTCTTCTGAAAGTGTGAGGTGTTTCAGAGCAGTTCAGCTTCAGTTTCAGTTTCTCCATCTCTAACATTACTTTAACTGTGCACTCTATCTGAAACCGAACTGAAAGTCTGAGGAAAGATAGAACTCTAAACAGCTTGGACTGGTTTGGTCCAGCTCACCTGTATGAGTGGAGGTTCAACCAGAACACTGTCCGGTTTGTTCAAATACTCCACTCCTCACAAGACCGGATTCACAAAAACAAAACTCTCATCTGGTGATGGTGTTTGGTGGCAATCCCATCAAAAATCCTTTAGAGTTTTGGTGAGTCACTACGCACACAACTGCACCTCATCAAACAAACATTAGCTACGTTTACATGGACAAAAGTAATCGGATTAAACAGCCGTTCTGAATAAAAATGTGTCATATAAACAGCCCGTTCCGATTATTCTGATCCGACTGAGCTTAATCCAAATGAATTTTTAATCCGAATGAAAAGGGTGGGTTATGCCGATTGATAATCGGAATGAGGTTCATGTAAACACTTAATCTGATCATCTTATTCTGATTGTAGAAAACTGACCTGTGCACGTCTGCTGACTTTCATTCACCCGGTGGGACAGCAGCGCTCCAGCTGCGCAGCACTGTGCAGAACTTTTCCTCCTCGCTCTCTTAGCAGATGAAAAAGGAGGCAAACAGCAGACGTTGCTTTGCAAAAAATATAAATAAAAAGCACGTATTGCTTCATCTGCAGGTTGCAGCTCAACTGAGGAGTAACGGCATCTCTATCGTTATTAAAAGCTGACACTGGTCCATCCTGAGCGCACAGAGGAGCGTTGTTTACGTTTGTAACATGGAAGTAGAGCTGAACGTTTACAACACTGCGCATGTCCGGACTTTTATTCTGAATAAAACTCATGAAACTCATGAAAGCATGTAAACACTTTTCATGATCGGATTGTGTCCATGTAAACAGTACATTCGTATTATTTAATCTGAATACATTTCAATCTGATTAAAATATTTTGTGCATGTAAACATAGCTAATGGTGCGTTCACAACCTCAGGACATCCCAGTATCATGAAAACACAGCTTCACCACACTGTTTCTCTGCTAAATCAGTCCAGAGGGAACAGAAGAATAAAATACTGTAGTATGTGATCCTTTACTGCAGTACAATTCCATTTTTTATGTCTGAGAAGCACATTGTTCCACACAACTCCAACTCAAACCTTCATTGTATACGATAATTTCAATGTTTATGGCGACACAACCGCCATCCTCAAGTCCAACGTGACAGTTCCTGGTTTTTACTAATATAGCTAATTAGGCTCAAAACAGACTTATTTTTGCTCTTAATGCTTGAGTTTTAAATGAAACCTGTTGCTTTAAGGTTAAAAATTCTTCCTTGGAGAATTAGGCTGAACAGTCTTACCAGTGCAACCCAGTGGTTCCAGCCCAGAGGAACGTGCTCCACTCCACCAGCTTTAGAGTGCCCATACTGAAAAACACAATTAATGTGTTTGTCATAATAAACTGATTCAGTTTTAAGATGTGAAAAATAAACAAGTACAGGCATGATGATAAAAAAAATCGTCTTTAACGAATATGTAGAAACAAAAGGAGAAATTGCATAATTCACACATAAATAAAGTAGTTTATTTAGCTGGTTTGAATAACTACTTCTTCAACAGCAGATCAGTGGTGTACCACAGGGCTCAGTCCTTGATTCAGTCCTGTTCTCCATGTACATAACGCTCCTCAGTCTGCTTAAGATTCATTAACATTTTATACAGATGATAGTCAACTGTTTCCATATAAAACCCACAGATCTTAAAACTCACCTTGCTGAAATTAAACCTAGCATGGCTTAAAAAGAAAAGACTAAACGTCAGATTATTTTGCTACAATTAAAATATTTTGTTTATCGATAAATTCTTACAGCTTAAGTTTAAATAATCAGATAAGTTCTTTCAACATCTGACTAATATAAAGATAAGCACAATTTTATCTACTTTTGCATTAATTACTGTAATGCTCTACACTCAGATATCAGTTGAGTTCATTCCATCATCTCTCAGAGATGCACCTCAACTGCAACTTGAGGACCTAATCAGCAATTTACTGCTAACGCAAGATGGCTGCTCGTTCTTCTGGTCTACAAAACGGTCTTTTGTAGGACAATAACTGCCTCTGAAGTAAACTTTGGGTTTTCAAACTCATGTCTACATCGATATGAGGAAAAGAAACATTTCAAAGCAGGAAGTAAACAGGAAACTAATCAATAGTGATTAGCACACACATGCAAACATGGTTTTAACTTTGTTATTCTGATGACTGAAGGTTAACATGAACTGCTCCGACTCCCCACAAAAAATAAAATAGTAATTTCAAATATATTTACCTGATTAAGGTATTTCCCTGCGAAAAAGGTCTGATATCCAGCGTAGTTCTTCAGTAAGGCGGGGAAAGTGTGGACCTCTTCGCTCTTCTGCCAGGCTTTGCTGCTGCAGTTTCCTTCCAAGGTGTTGTTGAGGACACGGTGGTTGTGGGGGTATTTACCCGTTAAGATGCTGGCTCGACTGGGGCAACACAGCGGGCTGGCAACAAACTGAAAAGCAGAGGAAAAATCAACAAAACAAACCAACAAATAAAACAGTGCATAGCTTTGAAAAGAAGAAAAATGATACAATAAAAGTGGTGAAACTTACTGCATTTGTGAAGGATATCCCTGCATCACCAATGAGTTTTTTTGTCTTCGTCAGTGGGGTCTATAAAACGATAAAATAAATTTACTTAAAATCAGTTATCTGATATTATAAATATTTATTTACTCCAACAGGTCTCTCCTGTTGAAACACAACAAAAGCAGCTCATCTGCTCCAGTATGGCAGCAGAACGTGAGGTCTTAAAGATTAGGCTCAGCTCTGTGTAACCTGTGTATAATAACTCTGTGTACATAAAACAAAGTAATATGGATCTCTTACATGTGTATTGTCCATGAAACACAGGTCTGAGTGTCTGCTATATATTAGTTCACTATAAGGTCCGAACACTGAGTCAGGGTTGTTGAAGATTCACAGTGAAAGAACTGAGCAGCACGAGGTCAGACGTTTTACAGTTTAGGAGTAAGTATCCATTTTCCTGCACCCATTTTAATCCAGTTTGTGTTTTAATCATTTGGTTCACATAATAAACAGTCTCTGGACTCTCTGGTCGACGTGAGCGATAAACTTAAACGCTCTGCTGGTTAGGGCTGCACGACATCAGGAAAACCTGTGATGCGTGATAACAGAGCGATGAYACGACTTGTGATAAATGAACCACGTGGTATCTCCGGTCCACTTTGTTTATCAGACTGATGTCGAAACACATAAATGCAAACATTTGTACCAACCATCTCTTGTAGTTTATGCATTTTTTGTGCTATGCATTTTGCAGAGGTTGTTATTACAAAGATGATAAATTTGCAATATATTGCGCAAGCCCTACTGCTAGTTTACAAAAACTAGAAACCTGGACCAGACTCCATGCTGGGCTCTTATAAAATATTCCCTCTCAGTTTGAAAGCTGTTCGAGAAACAGGATGTCATGAAGACAACTCATACATGCAGGACATGTCTCTGATTTCACTCCTCTCTAAKACTAACCATTAAAAACTAAACACATACTCAGGTATACCTTGAGAAACATCAGTGTCTCAAACTTGGGGGGCGGGGGGGGGTCTGCTTTGGATTGAGAATCTAAATCTCCAAATTCTTGTGGAGTTAAAATGTGCACTCACATTTTAATTATTTTAATTTGGAGGAACAAAAGAATCAATCACAAAATAGTCTTTAATAAACACCAGTTGATTTACCTAGGTCAACAAAGCTTGGCATGTTACTTTTTCCATTTTTGATATGACATTATATATAACGAAATATTTCGTTTAAATCTGTAAAGCTTACATCTATTTAAGTCTGGGAATCTGCTGATTTTGAATGTGAAATACCAAAGTAATGGAATGTGTCAGCTTTATATGGGACTAAAAGGTTAATTCAGACCTAATTATGTGATTTTCTACAAACGAAACATTCAGCGCTTCTGTAAAATCACGTTTATTCAGCTGCTCAACAATAAACAAACAGCTTAAGACATGAAATGATAAAATACTACTGACCAGCCCCCCGATAGCGACGTCCAAGTCGTCTGTAAGGATCAAAACAATGTTGGGTTTCTGGGAAGACTGACCAAAAAGCCCGAAGCTCGGCTGGCTGAACAACATGACGCAGATAACAAAACAAGAGCAGAAAGTCGTCCGACAGCAGCGAAGTGACCTCATTCTGTTCACTTAACGACAAACTGGCGGAGCTGGACGACTCTGAGCCGTATGACAGCGAGAAATCTACTCAGAAAGTCAAGAAAAGAGATAACGGAGCAGAGAAACAACCCTGTTCCTAAAAACACTTGTGTTTCTGTTAGCTGCTGGTCACGTGTTGCTCCTACTGCTGCTACGGAAGCCGAAAAGCCGGAGGAGCCGCGTTTTTGTTCTGCTTCTTACAACTACTTCATTTCACTTTTAAAATAAAATACAAAACACGCGTCGATGACAGTGTGTTAATACACTTACAAATACTTATAATAATCATAAATGGCTCAAATCTATATTCATAAATGAGACATTGGAGCATTTCAAGATGCTTACATTTAAGTGAAAATAACACTGAAAATCACTGGTTCACACTTAGGGTTTTGGGTTAGAGTAGTGGTGGAGGGGTAACTGGCACCACGCCGGCCTCTGCCTCTTCTTCTTTCCTTTTTTTAATTGCTCTATAGAACAACAYGCACCAACAGTACATCTGGGGGTGGGGGTGTGGGTGTCAGGGTTTTTATTCCCATCCCGTTCCCTGACTGCCATTTGGGGAGGGGGTCCTGAAGAAGGGCGGACCGCC